GTCCGCTATGCCCGCCTCTACAGGTAACTGCTCGGGAACTCCATCTCATAATTTTCAGGATAGTCATATTATCGCGCCTTCGACGGGCAGCAGACCATCTTTTGATCGTACTTGCTACAATTGTGGAGAACCTGTGCATATGAGGAGAGATTGTCCCCACCCACGTGTGTTAGATTCCATGCAGTAGCAGCAGTCTAGGGCAATGGTACCCATGGGGAACTGTAATAATGGTAGAGGACGTCCACAAGGTGGTTGATGAGGTAATCAGCGAGGCCGTGAAGGTAGAGGAAATGGTAATGGTAATGGAGGTAGGGGTAACACGCAACCAGGAAGGGAAGTAGCTCGACAAGATGATAGGGCTAAATGTTATGCTTTTCCAGGCAAGAATGAGGCGAAGGCGTCCGACGCGGTGATCACATGTACTATTCTTGTCTGTGACCGGATGGCTATTGTGTTGTGTAACATCCGACAATTTGAAGTGGCTTTGAAGGAGCTTGAAATTTGGAAATAGTCATTATTGAAAAAAAAAAAATGAGTTTTTGGCCAACTTTGAGTAGTCGTAACTCCTGGCTCAGGATGAGTTAGGAGTAGTTCTAGTTATGGTTGCGAAGCTCGTGGAACTATCTTTCCAACGCCACTAAGTTTGCTCGATTCCGAGTTCGTATGAGGGAGTTACACCCTTTAGAAGATTGGCAGTTGGAAGGGAAATCCGTCCGGAAATTTAAGGGCATTTTGGTCCTTTCACAAATCATTTCTTTTGAGCTCTTATTGTTGTATTAGGCTGATCTTTGGATCATTTTGTCCCATTTTGAAAGAGAAAGAGTTAGGGTTCTTGAGGGTGAAGAAGAGAGGAAGGAGAAGAAGAAAGAGGAGATCAACAAGATCATTGTGGATTTTCGTCGGGGGTGATCCCTATCAAGGTATGTGAGTTTTTCGTGTGGGTTGATTCTTTCCCTCACACACACCAAGTTTATTCTATGATTTGAGAAAAGATTGGGAATTGTTGGTGAAGTGTCAAAGTTGTTAGTTGTTGTTGATATTGTCGTTGAAGTTGTTGAAGTTATTGTTCGTTGTGAGACTTGATTGGGTTGTGCATTTAAGTTGAAACCTATTGTATGTTGAGGGGATTATGATTCTAAGAGCTATGACCCTTTTGAAGTTGATTCACCATCAATTCGCAGCAAATTTCTGGGCTGACGATCCCCATCTACGGGCGTGACCTACGGACCGTAGATCGATTGACGGTCCGTACAGGTCAACCGTCAATCGGAACAAAAGTTGGTTTTTGGGGCATCGATCTACGGTCACGACCTACGGTCCGTGGCCTGACCTACGGACCGTAAGTCAGAACCGTAGGTCAACACTTAGTCATTTTTTTTAAATGAATTCTGGGGAAATTTCTGACGCGATCTACGGACCTGCAGGACGGACCGTAAGTCCATCTACGGTCCGTCGATGGCGTCCGTAGGTTCCACCTGTGTCACCAGAAACCTGAAGTCTCAGCCAAGTTTCCCCGTTTCTTTTCTCACTTTCTCATGCAAGTTCCAAAGTATTATACCTATGTTTTATAGTAGTTTCCGACACTCCAAAGTACGCCTAAGCATTCAAGAATCCCTCCATAGCATGTGATCGAACACCTGGAATTCATAATTCCGTTTTCAAGGAAAGATAGTTCCCAAGTCAAGTGAAGTCAAGCTTAGAAGCAAGCAAGTCCTTAAGGTTTTCCAAGAGCCTTCATTGAACGTTTTAACTTCATTCTAAGGCTCAAGTTCCAAGTTAAGTATTGAGTTTCAAGTCAAGTCATAAGTTAAGAGTTTCACATCAAGCCAAGAGTTCAAGTAAAGTAAAGAGTTTAAAGTTGAGTTCTTTTCTCAAAGGTATTAGGGAACTATGTATTCCCAAAGAAGTTTTAAAGAAATGTTTTTACATTTAAACAAGGTTGGAAACTGAGATTTCCAAAGAGCCTTTGGGCTAGTTTTTGAGTAATTATCTCACATCAGCAGGAAGAAATGTATTTTAAAAACATAAGAGCCAGTACATTTTTGGGAGTAGTATCGAGCACCGAATTGGGGGAGCGTTCAAAGAACCCACAGCCCCTATAGAACCATGTTAGCCACCATGGGTAGAAAAGGATCATACTTTTTAGATAAATCCTTTTCAGATTAGACTAGTGGATCCATTAGGCAGTTCAGGTCGTATACCTTTGGCCGGGTATAAGATGCTCTGGCAGCGTGAGGTCGATCGCTGTATCATCACTATAGCTCTTATGTGATGGTTGTCGGTTAGAGAAACTCCCACAGCAGTTATTGTATTTTCATACACAGAGATTATTGTATTCTTATATACATCAGTTCATTGCATTTCTAAATACATTTCAGGCTTATTGTATCATTGTATACACACAGAGTTTATAGCATGTTTTAAACAGTCTTTCTTTATATTGCACTTGTTTTAAATTGCCTTATATTGAAAGAAGTCAGTCAGGTTGAGTTGAGTTGAGCCAGGTAAGCTGTTCAGTTTTCTTCCGGATTTCATTCTAGCCTTTGTTGCTTAGTTTTCCAGCTCGCATACTCGTACATTCCATGTACTGATGCCAGTTGGCCTGCATCGTTTGATGATGCAGATTCAGGTACCCCGGATCAGCATCCTGCACGTCGTTGATCCAGCTGAGCACTCCAGAGTCAGTGGTGAGCCTCCTTGCATTCCGGAGGACTCAATTATTTTGTGTTCTTAGTTAGTTTTGTTTTATTAGGATGTTGCGGGATCTGTCCCAACATCCATCTCAGTATTTTAGAGGCTTCATAGACAAATAGTCAGTCAGCTAGTTCTGAGTCTCTTATCTATGTATATATGTAAATATCCTATTTTGAGATTCGGGTTGCCTTATGGCCATATTTTATAAGTTAAGTTGTTTTGCAATATTGCATTGCTTTGGATTATTCTGTGAGCTAGGTTTCCGCTGAGTTAAGAAAGCCAGGCCAAGGGTTCGCTTGGGGCCAGAAATGGTCTCCGGGTGCCGGTCCCGCCCAGGGTGTAGGCTCGGGGCGTGACATGTTGTTTGATCTGGGTTATACTTATTCGTATGTATATGTGAGATTTGCCTTTGATTTTGTGATGATTTTGTGATATTCTTGATGCCCCTATTCGTGTTTCTACCCCAGTTGGAGAGTCAATCATAGTTACCTATGTCTATCGTGCTTGTCCTATTGTGTTTATGAGTTTTCAAACTTGGGCTGATTTGGTGATTTTGGATATCATTGACTTTGACATAATCTTAGGCATGACTTGGTTGTCCCCCTATTATGTTGTTCTTAATTGTAATACTGAGTCTGTAACTCTAGAAATTCTGGGAAGGGAACAATTAGAGTGGGAGGGGTGTACAAGCCTGAGCAAGCTAAGATTATATCCTCCATTCGGGTTAGTAAATTAGTAGAGCAGGGTTGTTTGGCTTATTTGACTCATGTTAGGAATGTTGAGATTGATTCTCCATCCATTGGGTTTATTCTTGTGGTGTCTGAATTTAGTGAAGTGTTTCCTAATGACTTGCATGGTATGCCTCCGGATAGAGATATAGATTTTTGCATTGATTTAGAGCCTGGTACTCGTCCCATTTCTATCCATCCATATCGCATGGCTCCGACAGAATTAGGAGAGCTTAAGGCTCAAATCCAAAAGCTCTTTGATAAGGGATTTATTCGCACTAGTGATTCCCCATGGGGTGCTCCAGTTTTGTTTGTTAAGAAGAAGGATGGTAGTATGAGAATGTGTATAGATTACCGGTAATTAAATAGAGTCACTATTCGAAATAGGTACCCCCTTCCTAGAATAGATGATCTCTTTGACCAATTGCAAGGTGCAGCGGTTTTCTCAAAGATTAATTTAAGATCCGGTTACCATCAATTGAAAATTAGGCCTGAGGATGTGCCCAAGACGGCATTTAGAACTCGTTATGGGAACTATGAGTTTTTGGTTATGTCTTTTGGTTTGACCAATGCACCTACAACTTTCATGAGTTTGATGAATAGGGTGTTCAAGCCATTTCTTGATTCCTTTGTGATAGTCTTTATTGATGATATTTTGGTTTATTCGGAATGTGAAGAAGAGTATGTCAACCATTTTCGTACTGTTTTGGGTGTTCTTGGGAAACAAAAATTATATGCTAAATTTTCAAAGTGTGAATTTTGGTTGAAATCAATTGCATTTTTGGGGCATGTAGCGTCAAAAGAAAGTGTAATGGTAGATCCTTTGTCCACGCTGGAAAGGAGATTCAGTACTCCTCAGGAAGAGCCTGAGGAGGAGATTGTCATCAACTTTGTCTGCGATATGTTTCCATTTGTAAACAAGTTAAGTGGCATTTTGTTCCAACGTTCGTGTCACGTTGAATACAGTCACCTTTTCTGGAATATCAAGTAATTTCACCTTCCATGAGATAATGAGACCAAAACTAGTCCCTCAATCACCTCTAATAGCCCAAAAGATATCCTCACCCATTGATTCTCGATCCTGAATTCGTCCATTAGCATCAATTAAGTTTGCATCAATGATGTTATCAGCAGTTGTACCGATTTTTCGTGACATCATGCCATAGCCTCAACCACTAAAGTGTCCACCAACACCAACAGTTGGGCAAACCCCAGCAACAAAGGCCAATTTTTTACTTTTTTCCGCGATTCTATAGTAAACTTACCCTAGGATCGCGCCAGCTTGAATTCAAGCAGTCTTGTCTTCAGTATCTATGGAGATTGACCTTAGGTTTCTAAGTTCAATTATGACAAAAGGGGTCTCTGAAATGTATGAAAGTCCCTCATAATCATGTCCGCCGCCTCAAATTCTAATTTGTAGGCCATGTTTCTTGGAGCAATGTATAGCTGCCTGGATTTGGGATTCATCATAATTAGGAGTGAAAATAATTGATGGTTTGAAGTTAGAGGTTATCCTTAGGTTATCTGTAAAGGAGTTTAAAATGGTAGAATATGAAGAGTTTTTAGGAGTGTGGATACCTTGTGATATTGAGTTTGAGTTCATAATTTTGTGAGAAAGACATTTAAAAAAGTCATCGTGAGTTTTGTTGGCCCATGAATATGATGATGAAAACCAAATTGAGAGAAAGAGAAATATTGTGAACTTGTTGATAATAGTCATAATTGATTATTTGTTGTTGCAAATTTTATTGATTGAGAAAATGGAAACAAGAACTTCTATTTATACTTTTAGCTAGACATAAAATAAAGTGGCACGTGGTATTAAAATATATATTAATACTTTCTCCATTTGAATTTATGTGAGAAGTTTAAGATTTTTAAAAAAAAACTTATTGTCTAAAAATAAGTCACTGATGTTTGCATGATCATAAATCATTTCAATAAGAATAAAATATGTATTTTATAATTAATTTTTTATTAAATATAGAAATATATTATTATTTTTGGTACTTAATAAAAAGAAAAATGAGTCATAAAAATTAGGAAAAATGAGTAATATTGTTGTGTTTTCACCTACTTTATTCGTATCAGAGCTATGGATAATAAGAAACACGGTAAGAAACATACGAGTAGAAAATTAAGAAGAAAATTAAACAAATTATATTCGGAATATAAACAACTTAATATGACAAAAACTGATAACGAAAAATTAAATCAATTAATAGATAATATATCTAAAATAGAATATAAATATATTCAATACTTAAAAATACAATGAATAACAAGAATAGTGACTATAGACAAAAACTTAATGAAGTAATTATAGAAAAACGACAAGAATTAGAACATAGGCAAAATAGACTTAACAATAATATATTCGTAGAAAATTTGTCACAAATCTATAATAGCACAAAGAAATACTATTTTATATCTAGAAATACAAATAAATAACTTAGAATATAAACTACAACATAATTTATTAGTGAATAAAGAAGAATACGCAATAGATGAAAAAACATATGAAAATTATGACGGATTAAAAATAAAGATAATATTTTCTAATCTAGGAAGAAGATATAAGAAAATAGGTGATAATATAAGTTTAATGTTAGAAAAAGAAATGGTAAAACTAGAAGATAGTTTAACTGCTATGATAAGAATAACAAAAGAAAATAAAGAAATAGATAGAAAAACGGAAATTGAAAAAATAAAACAACAAGCAAAAAAGGAAGTACAACAATTAGAAGAAGTAAAAAAAACCAAAATAATAGAAATAGAAAAAGAGCTAGCAATATTAAAAGAAATGTATGAAATAAAACAAAAAGAAAAAGAACAAAAAACGAAATTAACAAATGAGATAATTAAATTTAAAGAAAAATTGCAACTAGAAGATGAAATAGAAGAAAAAGAAGAAAATGATAATCTACCCGAAATAAGAGTAGATGAAATAAACGACGATGATCTAGAACAACATTCGGAAACAAGCGAAACATATACGGAACTTTTAGCAAACATAGATAATACAAAAAATTTAGAAGTAAATACAGAAGACTTAGACATGGACGAAAAACCTAGCACATCAGGTGTAAAAAACCTAAAAAAATTTAATCCAAAATATTATAATAAAAATTATGAACAATATAATAAAGAAAAAACTACATGGGATAAAAGATTAAATAAAAAATGGACGCCTAAACCAATAACTGGACAACATGATTTTTTAGATTTAGACTGTGTAGCAGATATAAATAAAACAATCCAATTATAGGTAGGATACATATCAAAACAATTAATAGATAACAAGATAGTAATAGCAGAGGCACCAGGATACATAGAAAGAACACTTATAGGAACAGTAAAATTACGGCTACAAAATTTAACAAATGAAAGCTTAACAACTTTAAGAAATAATAAAAAATTTGATGGTGGAATAGCCAATACAACCATGGAAATATTATATAAATACGAAATAGCTATAAGAAATGAATGTAGTAGTATGACAACAGAAGTAGAAGAACAAAATAAAGAAAGAATCATAAATCGGAATCTAATGACAAAATTAGCAATATGTAATATGTGTTACATAGATGAATATACATGTGCATTTACAGAATATTATTATAAAGGAACATATAGCACAGAAGAAAGTAAAGAAATAAGAAAATTATATTTTACAAAATTACCAGAACCTTTTAATTCAAAAATAATAAAAAGTTGGAATGAAGCAGAATTAACGGACACCTTAGGAGCTAGAATGAAATTCTTGCAACGATGGTTTATGGAACTATGTGAAAAGCATAAAGAAGAAAGAAAAATGGAAAAAATATTAATAAAGAACTTAGCATGTTGCAAAAATAAAACAACACCCCAATTTGGTTGTACGGATAAGTATTATAAAAATAGAAAGAAATATAATAAAAAAAATATATCAAAATATAAATATAAAAAACCAAGAAGGTACTATGTAAAAAACTACAAAACCAAAAGACCATATAGACCAAAAATAAAACTAACGGAATGTACTTGTTATAATTGTGGAAAATTAGGACATATAGCTAGAGATTGTAAATTACCTAAAAATTCAAAGAGAAAACAAATATCATAAATAATAATAGACGATGAAAAATATACACAAATAGAATACGTAGATTATGAATTAGAAAGCAATGATAGCATATATGAATTATCGGAAAATGAAATGGAAAATAATCCAGTAATAGAATCAGATAATGAATACGATATCAATGATTGAAAAAGATATACAAATAATAACTAAAGAAAAATATCAAGATGAAGAATCAGCAGAACAAAAAATAATATTTGATAATAATATATTTGAACAAATAAAAGGAAAAGAATTAGACCTAAGCGTAGCAAAAATATTCGAAATACCAACAATAAGAAACTTGTTTAAACGATAAAAAGAAGAATATTATGTAGTAAGTCAAAGAGAACATATCATAGATTGCAAATATACTAAAGGAAAGGCCAAAATATCAATAATAAATAAACGAATAATAAATAAAGAAATACAAGATATTAAGGCTAAAAATCCAATTAAATATATACATTTAGGAGGAACAGAAATACTAATAAAAACATGTTTTAGTGAAGGAATAAATACACCCATAGAAATATACTTAGCAGATGATAGAATTATACAACCTATAGAAAAAAGTATAATAATTGCGGTAAAAGGTAACCTCATATACCAAAAATTTAAATTTATAATAAGTGCTAATTACTCAGTAGCAATAAATGACAGAAATATAGATAAATCGTTAGTATTATATTGGAGAATGTCAGGAATAGAACTAGCCCCGAGAAGTAAAATATTTACAACTAGATGTAAAAACTTATATGTTTTAACGACAAAACATAAAATAACAGCAAAAAATAAAATAAAAAAAATAAAAATAGAAGATCCTTTTGAAAGAATAGTCACAGTCATAGACAAGAATGACTATAGTTATAATGAAATTGACATAGAAGAAGATTTAGTAATAGTAAAAGAAAGATTAAGTACATCAACATCAAAAAGAATAAACATGAACTGTGAAATACCACAAATCTCATAAAAAATGAGTACCTCAAGAAGAATAGATAAAACTCTACAAAAATCAATGGAGGAAGATATAAAACCACATCATTACTACATAACGGGAATAATGGAACAACGAAAATATTTAATATTAATAGATACAGGACGAGAAGAAAACTATATTACAAGAGAATTAGTGACGGAAGATGAAATAATAACTATTGAACAATCATGCTCCGAACTACCAAAAGCATTAATGTATACCGAAGAAACTACAGAAAAGGAAATAATCATCGGAGGAGTACCAATAGTGATAAAATTCAAAATATATCAAGGAAATGAAAATATCATTTTAGGAATAAAATGACTAGAACAAGTAAAACCATATAATCTAGAAGACAAACAGTTAACAATAAATTATGAAAATAAAAGAGTAATAATAAAAAGGGCTTTAGTATAATAAAAATATGAAAATATATATACTTGCAAAGATAATAATAGAAGGATATTACAACCGATATTATACACCAATGATAGATACGGGAGCAGAAGCTAATATATGTAAATACAATTGTTACCAGAAGATAAATGGGAAAAATTAAAAACACCGATAGTAGTAACGAGATTTAATAATGAAGGAAGCATGATCACATATAAGACAAAAAATATAAAAGTACAAATATGGGATAAGATATTAACTATAAAAGAAATATATAACTTTGAATTAACTACAAAAGATATGCTATTAGGAATGCCATTTTTAGAAAAATTATACCCACATATAATAACAAAAACACACTAGTGGTTCACGACACCGTGTAAACAAAAAATAGGAGCAAAAAGAGTAAATAATAAAAAACGAAAAACAACAGAATGGATAAAAGGAAGTGAGAAAATTACACAAAAATTAGAAAATATAAAAGAAGAAGACCTTAAAATAGAATTAATTATATTCTCTATAGATAAAGTAAAAATAATTTAAGATAAGTTAGAATTATTATATAGTGAGGATCCTTTACAAGGATGGGAAAAACATAAAACAAAAGTAAAAATTGAGCTAATTGATAATAACAGTATAATAACCCAAAAACCATTAAAGTATAATTTTAATGATTTAATCGAATTTAAGATACATATAGATGAATTACAAGAAAAAGGATATATACAAGAAAGCAATAGTAAGCACACAAGCCCGGCATTTATCGTAAATAAACATAGTGAACAAAAAAGAGGAAAAAGCAGAATGGTTATTGATTATAGAAATTTAAATGCAAAAACTAAAACATATAATTATCCGATACCAAATAAAATACTAAAGATAAGACAAATACAAGGATATAATTATTTTAGCAAATTTGATTGTAAATCAGGATTTTATCACTTAAAACTAGAAGAAGAATCTAAAAAACTAACAACATTCACTGTACCACAAGGATTTTATGAATGGAATGTATTACCATTTGGATATAAAAACGCACCATGTAGATATCAACACTTTATGGACAATTACTTTAAACAAATAGAAAATTGTGTTGTGTACATTGATGATATATTATTATATTCCAAAACACAAGATG